ACCTGGATCCTCAGTCCTCAACTTGACCCTCTTACTTGATCTCCCAAACTCCATAGTTCCTCTCCAATAATCAGTTGTGATTGGACCAAGGGTCTCCAACCACTGGCATCCAAGTACTATGTTAGTCGCCTTTAATGGCAAGGCATAGAGATCCACCCTCATCTTTTGACCTTGAGCCTTTAACTTTACACCCTTGAAGAGAATATCCCCCCGAAGTGTTTCCCCGTTTGCTACCTTGACTCCAAAAGGTTTTACCTTGGTGAATGGAGTCTCAATTTCCTTGGACAACTCCTCATCAATGAAGTTTAGCATAGACCCACTATCAAACAATACTTCCACCAATTTTCCTCTCACTTCAGCCGTGAATGTGATCATCTTCGGACCACGTTTCTTACTCTTAACCATATGCAATAAGGACTCCTCTCGTGGTTCCTCTTCGTCGCCATTATCCCCAATTTCCAACAAAAATACTTCCTTACCCTTGCACTTGTGACCTGGTGTGAATTTTTCATTGCACGAATAGCAAAGGCCTTTTTCTCGTCGTCGCTGCATCTCTTCGTCAGTAAGCCGCCTTATGTTGCTTGTCATTCGAACAACCTCGCCCAACGGCTTGCCTTCGGTTCGCGCCGTTAGCTCCTCAGTCGTAGCGTTCGTGCGCTTGGTCTCTGTTCGCACGTCGCTTGGCTTCGCCTTGCGTACTGCCATGAGATGATCTTCGTGCAGTCTAGCCGACTCTATAGCTGCTCGCATCGATCCTGGCCTGTCCAATCTCACCTCGGCTGCTAGTTCGGCTTTAAGCCCTCCAACGAACGTCCCTACTAGTGCACTCTCAGGCCAATCCCTCACTCTACTAGCAATGCGCTCGAACTCCTTTTGATACTCCCTCAGACTTCTGACTTGCTTGATTCTCGACAAGGCTTCATTGTAATCGTGGTAGTCACTTGAGCCGAACCTTGTGATGAGCTCTTTTTCGAAATCCCTCCAACGCATGTGCTCGCCATGGTTCTTGTGCATCACCCATTGCCACCATACGTTTGCTTCTCCATCAAGATGATAAGCAGCAATTTGAACCCTTTCGTACCTTGGCACATCATTGATCTCAAAAAATTGCACAGCTCGACTCAACCATGCGTCTGGATCCGTCCCTGTGAACGTGGGCATTACTATTTTTGACCGTGTACTTGCCCTCTCGTCCACTTGTTCATCACGATCGTGGCATCCCTCGTGTCGCCGTGCGTCGCGCCGTCGGCCATCGCGGTGTGGCCTCCGCTCATAATGCGTCGCATGCGACGCGTACGATGCGTGTGATCGCCAGTCGTCGTCCTCCTCGCGCCTTCGGTCGTGGTGTGTGCTTCCTTCATACCGTCGTCGATCGTCGTGGTGGTGATCTGCGCGCGATGCGCGTGTGCCCCGCGATCGACGATCGTCCTCGCGCTCGGTCCCGGTGCTTGTCGCTGTGGACCTTGACCCGTGACGCCTCCTTGACCCGTGACGCCTCCTTGGCCGCGTGTTCATGCGCGTTAGCTGCCAGGCCAAGTCTTGGACCATTAGTTCGATCCTTCCCAAGTTCTCGTTGGTAGCATGTTGACCATCGCCGATGATCTTCATGTTGTCTTCCAACGCTTGAATCCTCTCACGGTTTGACATCATAAATCCCTTTTTTTTTTTACTCTAAAAAAATTCGAATAAAATATGGAAAAATTCGAAAAAAATCGAACCCCCAACAAGACTCAAAAAAATCGAAACAAAAAAGAAATTCGGCCCCTCAACGAAAGGTAATAACCGAACAAAAAATCAAACAAAGGACTAACAAGATGACACTTTTTTTTTAAGACTCAAATTCGAAAACTAAAAGGGAAAATTCGAACCAAAAAATTCGAACCCCAACAAAAATTAAAGATAAATTCGGCCCCTCAGCAAAAGGCAAACCGAAAAAAAGAAAAAGATAGATAGATAAAGAACACGATCAGCACCTCTCAATGAAAGCACCAATGATGAAAAGTGATCGTGTCGTTATCTATACAGGTTGTGAATAAACAGCGCACTCAGGGCCTTCGTTTATCCACGATAGGTGTATCTAACAGACGCAC